CCCCCCCCCCCACTATTGAAAATTAAAAAACGATCATTACCACCCGATTGATGGTCGTTTGGAAGTATTTGGTAGTCATTTCTCGATGATTGATAGTCAAAATTGTAAATAATAATATGATAAAAAAGACATACGTGCGTGAAGTTAGCCCCTCCTTTCGCAAAATATGACTTTCCAAACTGCATAAGTAATCATAATTGTCAGCATTCGTTTGATGGTTGTTTATTGACGTTTGGTAGTCGATTCTTGATGATTAATAGTCAAAATTATAAATAATAATACGGAAAAAGACATACTGAAAAGTCTGAAACAGGAGGTAATGTCTACGCAAGTTCGATTGTACTAAAATGGCTGCGAGAACTATAATCTCAAAGCTACTTTACGTGCACTTTTTTAGATAGGATTATTTACAACTTTGACTACCAATCATTGAGAATGTACTACCGAATACTATCAAACGACCACCAATCGAGTGGTAATAGTCGTTTTTGAATTTTCAGTAGTGGGGAAGTTAATTTCACACAGTTAGAATTTTTAACATTTTAATTATTTCGATAATACCAGAATTGAGATTTTCACGAGCAGATTCGTAATCATGAAGCCATGTATTCTCGCCGTTAGTCACTTTGAGATTCTCATTAGAATTCGACCAGTCACCCGAGGAATGGAGATTCTTCTTTCCAATCCAATCTTTCAGTGGCTGATCGGCCATCGTTCCTTCTTCGTAGACAGCTCTATCTAACCTACGCTCAAGAGTGGAATGAATTTCTATCTACTATAAGAAACATGCTAGTTTTTAGAAGATTTGTTAGGTACAACTCTATGAAAAATTTAGTCAATTTAACAATAAATTTAAGTTACATAATACCATAAGTTATATAAATTGTTTATTTTGATATGTTTGAATTTATTGATAATAACGAATGAAATATCGTATATGTTTTAAAAAGATGTGATTTGGAAAGATGAAAGAAAAGAGATATAATTAGTTTGACATCAAAAATATTTTATTAATTTGTAAATATTCGTGTAGATGTAATAATTCTCTTTAGATTTCTATTTAAACAAAAATGAATTCTAATCTTACAATATTATTAACATTGTTTTGTCGCTTACGTGCCACGAGATTGATAAAAGACGTTATCAGCGTCTCTCTTAAATGTCACGTCGTTATCCAGATAGACTCTCTGAGGAACATCGTGAGTACTCTCCCGTCCGTATTTCTTCTTCTGCAGCATCCACATCGTTTCATAATTCCGATCGAAGCCCCTCTTGCCGCGTAACCTACTTCCATAGCCGATATCAGCCCGTTCTAGGACATCCCCCGTGTTGACGGATACCGGAGAGTGCTGGTTTGTATGCGCCAGCGGACTGTGTATCGGAAATATTCTTATTAAATCATTCAATAAAAAAAAATTGACATGTTTCTAAATCATTGTAGAATGCAAATATGGATCGAGATTGTATTGGTAACTTTTTTCAATTGAAGTAGACACCTCTAGCGGTTAAAATTTATGGAAATCGAATTGAGCTTTAACAATTCATATTGAATTTATTTTTAATTCTTTTTTCTCTGTTGTTAAAGTAACAAGCGATATAAAGGCTCTTACTAATCTGGGCGAGTTCGATTAATATGACGCGTGGCGTGATCTATCCACTTCAAATCGTTCTGCGCATTTAGAACATCTTCCAGAAATCTATTTAGAGCCGCGCTATTTTTCTCGCCGCTGATCATCACAGATTCATTCGCGGAATAATTTCTGCCGCCGTCAACCTGTATATTTAAAAGACGATTTAACACAGTTTAATAAGTCAATTGGCATACATCAATTTTCTGATTCTTTTTTCTGATACTGAGTCTGAGAAATAGTCTGTGAAATAATATCTATAAAAGAGAGAAAGAGAGAGAGAAAATTAACACTTGCAACTCTATTCTCAAATGTACGGCCGCGGGCTTAGAACGTCCTGCAGCGGCATTCCTGCTACGAAGACGACGGAATATCCTGCCGCTGACAATCCCTCGCTACCCGTCCCCACCGACACGTTAGCGCGTTATAATAATGTCGGGTGGGTGTCCCGTAACGCATCGCGTACATACTATTTTGCTTCGCTCCTTTTTCCGACGCGCTCGCGCGACCAAAACAATGGAATTCTACATCTGGGTGCCGCGGGCACGGGGCACGGTATTATTAAAAATTCACTCCTTCCCTACCCTCCCCCCCCTCCCCCTCAGCGTGGCTGAAGTGGCCTCTGGCAATCTGCATCTCATTCCCGGTGGGCCCTTGTGCCATCAGGTGGCTGGCAGCCACCACCGCAGCTAGCGCGCTACGGGAAAAGGGGTGGAAAACTTGAGCTTCGCTACGCAGCGGTTTCGCGGCAGGACACGACGCGACGTCGCGGTCGGTTTGCCGAACAAAAAAAAAGATCTTACACCCAATTACACGCGGCATTTAACTAAATAAAGCCTCGCCTTCCGCCTCACCCTCGGCCTGCCTTTCGACTCAGCGTGTACGAGTCTGTACAGAGGCTAGAATTTTTATTAAACTGCCCGCGATAATGAAAAGTCTTTGTTGGTTGAAAGATGTTGTAATTCTAATTTTATTTGAACACATAAATATATATTTTTTAAACGTATATTAAGCGATATATTGTGCATAAAATGGTTAAGTATTTTTTCAAAATCTTTCAGTACGGAAAAAATTATGTCTTACTCCTTTGATATACACAATTGAAATTATTTGCAATTCCTTTGAATTCTTTTAACCGTTTTCTATTTCTAGAAGACACATTAACAATGTTTTAACAATGTATTCTGATTCCGTTTGCACGCGTTTGACGATCCTTTTTGTAGGTTCTCCATCAAACGGCCGTTGCGGGAGTTGAGTACCGAAAATGCGGCGGGCATAATCAATCACAAGGCATTTTCGGCCGCAATACGCGACCGAAGAGAGGAACGATAGACGACAGTTCGCATAGTTCCCAAACGGAAACGGTAATATCGCTGGCCCGGGGCGACCAACCCTTTGTCATTTTGTCATTCGGCATAAAGACTGAGAGCTGTTCTGCGAGAGACGGGCTGCTCTGCGGCGCGTTACGTCGTTCCGCGTGTTTCTCGCCAAAAGAAATTAATGTTTGAGATATTAAAATGTGCTTGAGAACAGGAATCTGTCGTCGTGCGTCGCTCTCGGCCGGATCAGATATTCGTTTCTCTTATTAATCACGATGACGCTCTCGCTTTGTGAAATCTAGCAATAGAAAGTTGTCACCAAAAAAAAAAATTATGCATCATCGAGTAACAAAAAGAGCGATTCTAGATTGATTGATGCAAAATAATCTTAATTATGTAACTGCACTTCGATTAACCTTATTATGTTCATGTTGACGCGAAGAAATGGCTGATTTCTCCGAGTTTTTAATCGAGTCGGATTTTTTCGTCGTGTACGTTGCTTTGCTCCGCTCATATTTGTTAACTTCCGCCAGAGCAAATGTAGAAATGACGGCAAGCATGACATAGACCAGGAGGCATACTCGAAGGCAAAATAGTGAGAGTGAAGACGATCCGGCTATTTGTTTCATGCTGCAAAATATTATGAACTATCTCAAGCTTGATACCTCCAGATTATTTTCAACACAATATATAGATATTAGCCTATAATAGATAATCTATTCTACTCATTAAGACACTGTATACTAATCGTACAATGCAGTAGACGTACAATGTAAAAAAAAATGGTACGTATTGGAGGCTTAAACGAGATCGGCGATCGATTCCCTGATGATTTATACGAGCCAAAGAAATGGGGCAAGTCGAATTCAATTTAGCGCGCGCGCGCGCGCAAGAGAGAGAGAGAGACTTCGTCACTTCATAAATCCGCTCGCGGAATTGCACACGCGTATATGTATGTGGCACGCGAAGTATATAACGGGCTATTAAGTCCCGATCTCGGGAAGACATTAATTTCACGGTCGCGCATAACTTTCCTGTCACAATTTGCATTCGGGCCTCTCGCCGGCCGGAGAGTGCGCGCGCGCGCGCGGCGGGAAATTAAAAACGTCCGATCGTAAAGCCTCGAAAAAGAAGTGAAATATTATCGCCCTCGCATTCTGAATCGTAATCAGCCGTAATCGCCGCGCGTGAGCTCTGCGTCTCGTTCGACTCCTTCGCGGAGCGAAGGAAAACGGAGCCTTCTTGCAACCGGAAAACCCTGCAGCGGGGAAAACGTACCGCGATTGATATCGTCGCTTATGCCCAATATTTATCAAGGAAATAAATGACCTGAGTCGAAGGGAATTGTCCGTGGAATCTCTAATTTCTCCTTATCGACGTTATTACTCGCGTTGTCGACAATTCGCATCTCCGCACAATGATCAATCACTCAAGTGTCTTTTATTCTTTATTTCCGTCTAATATCTCCAACTTTCGCAAACCCATCTCTCCCTGCCGATTATTCGCCGAGACAAAACCCGCAGAGGATTTCGCCATTTCAACAAAAGCGCAAGAGGAATAAAGGCTTAAGCGATCGTTCCGTTCTCCAGCGATCGCGCGAATGCGAAGGGGGAGACCGGGGAAGGATTTTCAGAAGGGAGCTGCTCGCTCGTCCCGTAATCTCTCCCGGTGGAATGCGGGAGTCCGAGAGAGTCAACGCCGCGCGAGAGTATCGTTATAAGCGTCATGAGCGAACGAACGGTATAGGAGAGTCGGATGTGTCTCATCGTTTCGTCAAGGATCGCGAGTAAAGGAGCGGGCTAACGAAAAAGCAACGAAGATTGGCGCCGGAGGAGGGGGACAGAGAAGAGGGAGAGAGAGAGATAGAAAGAAGAGGAGAGTGGCGATATAATGTACCGCGTAAGAGCCATTAGGTTATTAAAAACAGTGGTCGCTAGATGCGAATAATGAACCGGCTGGTGGCCACCGAGGGGCGCGACAAAGGCGGAAAATTAGCCCTGATAACTTCACGTTTGAATGCGAAGGGTGGCGGACGCGGGAAAGGAGAACGAAAGGAGGGAAAACGAAGCGCGCTGGTAATCTCGACTTCGGTCCTCTTCCTGTGATGACGGCCTTGTTCCCGTTCGTTCGTTCACCGCGAACCGTCTGCCGTCGGCTGTGTGTTTGCGAAGACATCACGACGAAGACGTCTCGATTTCCTCGAGCGTGATCCTCGCGCGATTTTCCACGAAGGGGAGCGAGATACTCTTTCGGAATTAGTTTCAATGATCTTCGATTTCCTCCCGGGGAGATTGAAAGAAAGAATATCCAAATAAAGAATATAAACTTGTACATATATGTATAACCATAAAAGATAATATTATCTACCTATATGAAAGTGACGAACAGATAAATAAATTAATAAATTGATTTTAAATTAATTTGTTTATCGGAAAACTTTTGATTCGATTATCTTTCATCTGGCGATCATTTTTATATGTATATATATATATATGCCTCTCAAAGATCTCACAAGTATATATACATACATTTTTCTACCTCTAATAATTTTTATTTGAATACTTTTGATATGTAGTATTAAATTCATAATTCGAGCGCTTCTAATTACAAGTCGTGATTTTTAGGCGTACAATTCCAAACGGCAATTTCATGAACGAGAGAATACAATGCGAGTAGAGATTGACATGTCACTTATACGATTGGACACGGTTACAATTGCGCTGCTCTTTTTTCCCGAAATTTACCTGGTATTTTGCGGCCACGAGTGCCGGATTAGCAACTCGTTTTCGCACACACACTCATGCGCGCGCCATCGAGGATAACGTTTCGCGTAAACGATCTCTGTCACGCTGTGCCGATTGAATCACGCCCGTCGACATCTCGCATAACAAATTTCGATCGAGCACCGAATTGTTTCGCGTCGATGATCGATTTCAATAGATGCGCATATCTTCCCGCGGCTTGCATTTCCATCACTCTTTTTTTTTTTACCTTTCCGACGAAGAGAGAGTGACGTTTGTTAAAGCCAGTTCGACGGTACTTACGGGCATTCAATTAATCATTGAAACGATGAATCCGCCATCCGTGAATATCGATGGATTCCTTTCCGAATAACTTAATTATATCCAAAGTAAATCGACGCGCCAATTCGTATTATACAAGACATCTCTAAATTACTGTGTGCAATAGTATAAACCTGAAGCAATTTCGAGAATGTTGAGGATTAAAACGCACCTGTGAAATACACTACGCGCGCGAGCGGCGTCTCTCTTAGGACTAGACGAGTTTATTTTCGGCATATGAACGAAAACTTCTTGCATGAGAGAGAATTTCGTAACGAGGTTTCGCAGCAGCCCTCGCAGGAAATATTGCAGGAAGTCTATGGAGGCGCGACTCTCGTAAGCGCGTGGAATTGGCCTTACGCGTTAATTTTCGCACGTGAACGAACGAGCAAATAAGGAACGCCGTATCTAGGTGAATAGTCGATTTATACGGTCGTCGTATATAGCTAACCTTGTTAGTATTCGCACAGACGAATTTGGGCTAATCGTCCCCGCTCGAGGAACGTAAATTTATTTCCGTTCGAGAAGGACGTATATTATAACTTTGAGTATGTTGGAGAAAACAAATCTTCGAGTAACGTAATGTTAAAAAAAATATGGCAGTCATTCTATTGGGATAAATCAAACGGGGCAATAACATTTTAAGAAAACAATTCATAATTGTTACTGCTGCAGCTGAGCTGTTAATAATTATTATTAATTATAATTAATATAACGCAAATGTATTTTATATTATTAATAAAGTTACATTGTAACAATAAAAATTATTATATGCACATCAACATCCGTGTCGGCTTCCATTGACATTACTTCGTTATCGTTTGATTAATAAAATTATAAATTCCGAATGTTATTATGTATATTAAGAATCATTAACACATTAGTTGTGTTATCAAGTTAAAATTATTATCGCATCATCAGGTTAATGATGTACTGCGTTACCATCGATGTAACATAATTAATAATATGAATCGCGTAACCATGAAGCTCTCTTGAGCGGGTAATTAGAATGCCCATTAGCTTAACGTTGCCGCGTCACGGGATTCTTTTAACGACGAAACACAGGCGAAACGTCGAGTGATCTCGAACGACGTGATCAATACCCGTTTATTCGACGCATGTAAACGCATCGGCTCGTGTACTGCAATGGGCCAATGGACGTTTTGTTAAACTCGGGACCGAACTTTTGTCATAAACTATACGCTTTATACGCGGATAGAGAGAAAACGCGGCACGCATCTGTGCGGGACGATTAGGCGGTGCGGGGAGGAGGGGAGGGGAGGCGGGTGGAAAGGGATGAGGAAGAATCGAGTGGGACAGGGATGAAGGGTGATACGAGAAGAGGATGGAAAGGACGGAGAGCGAGGAAGGCGGAAAGAGGAAAGAGAGGAAGCGCGCAGGGAGAGAGGGATACGCGCGGGGGGAGTTGGTTTCAATTAGGAGGCAGTAACTCTCCCGGGCATTGTTCATTTCACTCTAGATTTGTATTCCCCGTTTGTTTGTTCCCGTCGCATTTGCGTTAACCTGAGTAAAAGCGAGCCACCATGCGTGTATACGCGATCGCAGCCCGAGCGGAAAAGACGAGGCGGGAAAGGAGGCGCGCGCGATGACGGTTTCGGCTCTGATTTTCAGAACGGGCTCAGACCGGAAAATCAGGACGTGGAAGTAAATAAGCGAATAAAGATGAAATATTGTTAACTTAACTAAATATTCTTTTGTATTTGCGTTATAAACATTTCAACTTGTTTACACTTTTGTACAATGTGCATCGTCATCGTTTTTCCAAAATTAAAAAATTTTTTTTTAACAAAAGTTGTTCTCGCTCGCACCCGCAAATTCAATCATCATGATCGATAATGCAATCGGGGAATCGCCGAACATCGAAGAGCAGACACGCTGAATTTCGTTTATGTCGCCTGGAACTAACGATCCATTAAACGGGCCTCCCCTCTCCTCCCTTCCCTCCTCCGTTCGTGACGATACGCGACGTTATTCACTTCATTAATAACCGATAAGCTCTTCCGACCATTATGCGGCCCGTACGCGAGCGAGAATTGATAGAATTCATTCGCGGATTTAAGTAGCGTGCAAAGGGAATTCGCATATTCGCGCGAGCGCGACGTTGACCGTGTTAATGGAGGATGCCGATCGCGCGAAATTGCCGCCAATTTTTCATAATGTCACATTCGGTTGACGGAATAATTCAGGCAGTCTTTATTAACGAAGCTGCTCACCAAAAAAGAAAAAATCCTCTTCGGAATGCAAAAGTCGCATTTGCCGTATTATTACGAGACGCGCTGTTGCAAAAAGTTTCTAATTTTACAAGTACTTTCACGGAACGTCGTGCAGTGTGGTGGTATAGCTTACAGCAGATATTACGAGGCGCGGGTGCACGCGCGGGTGCCGGGTGGTGGTAAACAATTCGAGGCATTTTAATGGAGCCCCCGGTGGGCCGTAAGCAGAACGTGAAACTAATGCGCGCGTAAAGACGCGACTCTTTCGAAACGAAGGTGAGGAAGTCTTATCCCTTAAGACCGCCGTACGACCGTCGAAGGAGTATACGTGCCATAACGTGCCTTCGATCTTGGATGAGCCTTACTCTCGACTCTTGATCTGCCCCCCGGACTTGTCTCGTTTTATTTTTCTTCCTTTGTTCCGCCGTAGCGCCAAATCCAAAATAAATTTGTAGACAACGCGAGCTCGTATTTTTAACGAGTTCCGAGGCGGTCCTTCGGTTTCCGCACGGTGCTTCTTTCTCTCGACGTCTCGCTGTCTTCATCTTCGATCACCGCGTCGACGTTATCTCTCGAAATAGATTATTATATTATCTGTATGTATTTGTGCTATCAAATCAATGCGCAAGTAAATTGATAAATTGATAATAACAACGAGATTAGGAAATTAAATTAATATAAGGAAATAATTATTGGAATCTACGTGTGCAATTCTATATAAAGATTAAATATATATAAATATCGTAAATATATATACTGTAAATATATATATATATATGTAGTATAGATACATATAATAGTCTTTGCGTATAATTTAGAAAATTTACAAAAATTTATCGTTATAAGTTACGAAAAAAATACCAGATTAACGCCATTTTTATTCACCACTGTAAGCAGGTAGAACGTTTTCTGCTCTAGCCCGCTTAACATTTTGCATTCGTGGAAATTGCGCCGTGGCGCGAATTTTTATACCCGTTTGCTTCGAAATTTTAGATGGAAAAAGTCGAGCCAGCCCGAGCGAACTTTAAGCGCACGATGCTCTTAAGGGTTCGTTCACAAGAACGATCGTTGTAGCTCCGAGTGTGGCGGCGTCTAAACGAAATACGATAAGCACTTAGCCGGGCCGTATCTATCAAGCATAACCCTTATGCCGCTGCTTTGAGGGTGTGGTGTACCCTGGGGAGAGAGCCCAGGCGCAGGACAACCTCCTGGAATTTATACTACGGACTTCGCCCTCATCCTACTGCGGCTTTATCACTTATTCATATAGCGTTGCGCGAGGAAAAGTTGCCCTAAGTGCCTATAAACGTTTAGTCACCGAATGTTTCTGCGTTTCCCGCATCCGCGCGATTCGATATCATTCGATTCCTGTCACCGTGGCACCGGTTGATACACTGTAGAACATGATAGCAAACGATAGTTCGAAGTAATAACACAAAAGAAAATTCCATCCTCAAGATTATTAAAGTTACTATTTCTGTAAGTTATTTTAATTAATATAAAGAGGAAAAACCTCTGAATTATGTTTTTAGTTGAGGAAAATACAATTAATAACTTAGATATTTATTTATTCTAATACATTACATATAGAAATTTATTTATAAAAAAAATTATAATTGAAAAATTTGATTGCAGTTTATTTATATATTTTTTATTATTTGTCTAGAAAATTGTTGTATTTCCAATTATTTTTAAATCGTAGAGAAAAAGATGCTTCCCTATAGGAAATTTTATCAGCGAAAGTATTGACAATTTTATATATAAATTATGGTATGGCTGTAAATGTATTCGGTGTGACGGAAGATGCGTTGGATACACAGTAATCGATACATTCTAGCTTGATTATCGTGTAATGGAACGTAAATGCTAACACATCTCTGGCTCAGTTCATCTCGCAGTTAAGTCAGTATGTAATTAATTTTATTGTGACGGCGACTGGAATACGCAGGCAATGCCTGCTTTTAATAAGAGGGATCTTCCGTGTAATTGGAGAAACAATCGCGGATTAAAATATCGATGTTCTCACTAATGATCCGTTTTCGTTAGCGGTTTGCGTGATATTCGCGTAATTAGTCGGGTCTGAATAAACCTAGGATCTAATGATGCTTATCGCTACAGGTCGCTACAGCACAGACGGCGATACAGACGTCGCATAGGTTGAAATGATATACGATTCCGAGACGACGAAATCCCCGTTTGATTCTCCTTCGGGATATATTCCTCGGGAATCCTTGTTCTTCGTATCACGCGCCATCGCGAATCCTTTCTGCCCAGACTCGGAATTACTTTCGCGCGTTTTACGGACAGGCATTTCTAAATTGCGCAAATGTAATTGAAAATCCACATATTGATCATTGCAATGGAAATAATCTCACATATTAAAAAATCAGATAATTAAGGATAAGAATATGATAATTAAAATGTAAGATTTATTTTTGAAATGTATAATTTTTACAATACTTTACAACAAAACGCTTTTTATAATTAATGCTAAGGAAAAAACTTCTTAAAGAATTAAATAAAGAATAAATTCTCTTTTTTTTTCATTACATTACACGATCAGTTTCATTTCAATTGCTGACATGACTCACGTGATGATTTGTAGCAAAACAACGTTTGATATGTTTATAAGTACGATTTTCAATATATTTGACGAAAATAGGAATTAAAAAGACAGGATCATCCATTCGAGAATGCAAGACGATGGGAAAGGAGGAGAAACCACCAAAGAGTGGTTACCGAAGAACGGGGTGGAATTAAGCATCTCGCCTGAAGAGACTTCAAGTCAATTCAGCATCGTTCTCTTCCCTCCTTTGGCATGGCAAGGATTAAAATCTGCCTGATATAGCGGCTCCTATCCACCCTCGCTCTTCCGATATTAAACGGATGTTACGATGTCGATCGTCTCGTATGAGTTTCCTGCCTTTTATCAGAAAATCGTTTGATTACGCAGACTTTCATACGAGCAATACACACATGTACATGTAATTATATTATGCATTAACATATCGCTAAATTGGCATGCCAATGCAATTAATAGAACAATAGAACAATTGTTCTTATTTTGTTAGTAATTACAAAAAAGAATTGTTTTTGCTTCCAGTTCTATATCATCTTTCTTTGAATTTATATACAGAGAATTGAGTCGAAATAGTAACAGGATTGTAATAAAATTAGATAATATTGTTATTATAATATCATCGCGATTATGCAAACGGCAGTTTTGACAGCGACGCTTTTTCCATTACGCGGTATTGCACGTCCAGTTATCTACGCGTTGCGCGTCTGTATCAGTCTGTCAGCGCGTTTGACAATTCAGGAAATTACCGTATCACGACAGGGGCTAATACTGCTGATTACATACAACTCGCGCTTCGGTATCACGACGACAAGATATCACGCGCGTGTTATACAAGACCCTTCAAGCATCTGGCTTTTGATTATTCCCAGTTACGATATAATAACTATAGTCGAATCTGAGAAGACACGCTCCTTCCTGCATAGGGAACAGTAAGGTTACGTAGTTACAAGTTAGATAGTGAAATGTGAAATTAGATAATTTCATGCGATATTAACTACGAACATGAAACGGGGCCCAGCTTATTTGTTTCCGAACGGAGATAATCCTAAATGTAAAGATCTTTTTTCGCTCATTCTTACATCTTGACACAAATTCTTTCGCACTTTCACACCTTTGTAAAAGTTGCGCAGATTCGACAGCGACGAGAAATACAGAAATAACAAACAGGGGGAATTACTGGAATCACCGGGAAACCGAAAAGGGCAGCTCGCGCGAGCGTATATATTCTCGCGTCTCTGGTCATTTTCCCCACGAGAGAGCGCGGGGAAACTGCAAATTATTTTCCAGTCGTTCGCCCCGATAACCCCCCCGGATATATAACGGGTGATCCGCCGAAATTCCCAGCGGGCGAAACGAGCGTCCCATACAGTCGCATCGACGGCGTCAGCCACGTAGACGGCCTCACGAAATATCCCGCCTTATGGTGATCCCATGGCACATCCGACGCCCTACGAGTACATCCCCATAATTCGCCCGTCGCACTTTAGCCTCTCGTGCGTTCGCCGCGCGCGGATATGTTGCGCGCGAGGTCTAATGGTATTGGATCCGCGATCTTTACGCGTTTCGGCGCGGTGACCGAGGATAAGGAAAGTCTGCATCGGCAAAGTGAAAGCGAGACAACGAATTTATTGTCCGTACGCGCGATTTGCCTAGAGATGTCTCAATTGAAAAAAAATATACATACGTATATTAAACATACTTTAAGATATTAATTTATAAAAGATGGAAACTTATCCAATTATCGTTCCAATTTGGTTTAAAATGACATTTGCAATAACAATTTTCCTTTCCTATATTCGCAGTTTTGTATATCTTTTTGATAAGGCGTAAAATTAATGCAGTAGTACGTCCTAAAAAATTAATATGAGATACTTTTCACTCTTACACAATATAGATATTCCTCGAGAAATATTTATAAAAGATTTCAATATTTTTTAATGAAAATCTTGTTTTCTTCAGCGACGTAACTTTACAGAGGATCGATTGCGTCTGTCGTCGAAAGCATCCCTCGTTATACTCGATACACTCGAAATCTCATAATTAGTGTCCGATAGAACTCGAGTAGCGGCGATTTTTCAGGTCGATGCACCAGGAAAACGCGGATCTGACCCACACTCTCGCCGTATCTCCGTCAGGAAATTCTGTAGACATTTCCCCGATCAGGAAGTCTTTGCCTTACTCCCCGCGCCCAACAACCCCCCCCCGTCGTCACTTTTTTTTCATTATTTTTCAGCATTCTCGCCGGCAAATGTATCTGTGTCCTCGAGCGCATTGCGCCTTTCATCTCTCGTCTCTGCAGGCGGAGCACTTATACACTCCGTACCCTCTCGGCTTCGCCCCTTTCCCCGCCGTCCCTTCCCCCACGGTCCCCTTTTTTGTCCCCCAGCACCCCCCACGGCGTTCCTCTGCGCCTTTACTTCGCGTCACACTCGACTACCTCTCGTCCCTCGTCCCCTCGTCGTCCGCCTGTCTCATTTGCGGGGAGCGGGAGAATGCCGCCGGGGAACACAACGTCGCGAGCTAAAATACATCGTGATTTTAATACTTTTAACTCCTTTATAATCCGCTTTGCACCTACGCCGAGGGCCGGTAATGCCGACGACATGCTCCACTTCAGAGTTCTCCATTCTTCTCTCTCTTTCTTCCATCGTCAGGCCTCGCGGTAAGACTGCGAGCTGAGTTGCAGTTGTGGCTGGCGACGGCTGGCGACAGCCGGAGAACGGTTGCATCGGTGCCATTCGCGTGCGGTAATTTCGCCATTCACTTCTGCCTATCAACGACGGAATCGTATGCCGCGGGAGACACAATTTTCTCCTGGTCTTTTTATCGTAGCAATTTAGGTCGCGAATGGATATTCAGCATATACGAGCTGGAAAGTGCTACATTTCGGATAATTTTCTCGATGCTTTTCACCTTGCGGTTGTCATTGCGGTTGTCAGTAATATCCGAGCTCGTCCTGTTTTTTTTTTTTTTTTTTTACTAGTCGCAGACATTAATTTTTGCGGACGATTATCGTGTTCTGCATAAAAATCGCTTGACGATCGATCGGGAATATGTAAAATATTCGAATAAACGTAAGAAAAGTACGTGTAGCTTTAAACACATGTAGCGTCGAAAAGACTTTGTCACTCCTAGGATATCCGTATCTGACATCGCGACCGGATATTGACCGAACGATTCAGCGGACAGTGACTTTTCGCGTTCGCGCATAGCATGAGGCAGTTTGTAAATACAGGTAAGACCGGAGCAAATCCCGCGATCGGATCCCCACCGACGGTCTTTAAAGGGATTTTAGCCGGCACGTCGTTACACGCGGCAGGCGGACTGTACTAAGTAAAGATTGCAAGGCAAAGGGGTTGCCGCCTTAATCCCTTCCGGATGTCTGTTTGTGGTATTACCGCGTTAAGGGATGAATCTCCAAGACACCAGCTATCCCACACCCTCCGCCAACTCGAGCGCCCCGCAGTTCGTATTACGCATCCGCGAACGGTTTCGAATTCACCGCGATCTTGACAGCTGTTCTTGATTTACTTAAATTATTCTCGCTTACCATCCGCCATGACGAATTAATTCTGCGCGCAATAACAAAGCACGCCGCGGATTCTGAGGATTTAATCGACACATTTTGTGTATATAAAACCATCGTTATAAGGGGTGATGTGTTTATCTGTCAGAAGATAAAAATAATGTGATTGCATATCTCCGAAACTCTGAATATTTAACCGCTGTAAAGAAAGTAATTTTGAATGGCTTTCTAAACTAACTTTTTTTATTGAAATTTCTTTCTTTGGAAGTAAAAAAAACTTAGAAGATTTTTTTGAACATATGATTATATGAATATTTTCTAACGTTTTTGAAAAGTTCTAAAAATATTTAGCATCTATTCACACTATTTAAGTTTCTAAAAATTAATATATCCACGTAATTGATTTCATCAGCATCTCGTTCATTACATTTTGTAATTTTTTTAATCCTATTTATTTAACCTGCAGGCATTTTTTTGAGAAAATAAAACGAAGAGAATTATAAGAATTGGGCCAAACTGTATTAGTTTAATGGACTAGTTTAACGAAATTTAGTTTGACAGACGCTGATGAAACCACGCCCTTAGTCGTGACCTGCCGCGAGGAATCGAAGATTGTCGCGAAACTCGGAGCGAGTGGCGAAGGGTCGGCCTACCGTTTGCGTTTTAAGCAGGCAGCCGGGGCGGCCGCGTTTCTATTTGCGACGTAATAGTATAACAGCAGCTCGATAGCTGGCTGCTCTCCGCGCGAATTTGAATGGTCGGCTTTCTGGTAGCAGGCGCTATGTGCGGCGCGGCGGCGGCTGCTGTACGCGTGGCATACATTCCGAACGCGCGGAATCATGCCGGTTGACACGCCGTCTTCTGACGGGACGAGGACGTTCCCGGTTGCGCCGGAAACGCAACGTCCGGCGATAATGTCCGTCAACAGACGACGATGCGACCGTTCTGCCAAACAATGCGCCATTGTTGCCAACTTATTCCATTACAGATAACTCCCCCGTTCATTGTCTCCTCTCTCGCCCTCTCTCTCTTCTCTCTCTCTCTCTCCGTCGCTATCTCTCTTTTTCTCTCTCTCCCTCTCGCTCGCTCGCTCGCTTTTCCACTCCGTTTCGCAACCCAC